TTATACTAAGGACATTACATAGTCATTAGTTGGAATGTTCCTGAAGTACATAATACAGGATTTTCATTTAATAAGAAGCAGCTACTTGCCACTGCGTTGTACATAAAATAAATTCTGGGCATGCTAATTGCCATTCAAGGATGTTCTACTTAATTTTTGACAGGTTTTTCTCCCCCTCCCCCCCCCATTAGACTACACTGTAAAAAATGTAAGCAGAATGTTTTGCTATAGTTTAAAAACCTTCTTTAGAATATTCTATTTCTGAAACATGGATGCTTGCAATGATGTCTATTAAAGGCTTCAATGCAGATGCTAAAGAAAAAACAAACTATCTATAGGAATACTGGAGGGAAAACAGCATAAAACCAAAATACGTATACAGAGATATGTATCTCAGCACAGCAACTCTTCAAGTCATCACTCCCATCTTGAAGAACAAACCTAACTGTAATTAATTGGTATAGTTCCTCTATCTGAACACTATTAGTGCATTAGAGTTAACTAATATATAAGCTTCCCCCTCGTTGCCCTGCCAATGACCTTAAGCTTCACATGGTAGGAAGGCCACTTGCTGTAGAATAGAGAAGTAATTTATCCACCATGATTGTTCAGCCCTGGCCTCTCTGTAAAACAGCGACTGACAATTGTGCTGTATTATGGATGGTACATTTGTGGTGTGTACAATAGTGTGCAGAGCATCAAACTCACTTCCCCGAACACTGCAGGCATGGTTTGAAAAGTGACCCTGGAAAGACTCACTTGCTGAGTGATGATGCTACATTTTCAAATATTTTTTTTCCCCCTCCAAATATCTCCCCCCCCTTTTCTTTTTGCCCCCAAACCAATATTGTTCTCTCAGCTTAAGTAAAAGCAGCATGTAATTTTCCATTCATAAAAGCATGAGATATTTAAAAGAAAAAAAAAAAAAAAAAAGTTACTTTGCTCTTATTTTACCTGGGATTTCCCTGCTTCTTTCCACATTTCAGGATTTAGCATATTCCTTCAAAACATAATAAATTTCGATTCTGTAGCTTAAGGGATCCATCAGTTAAAATGTTAGTCTTTCATCTTTATTACCCTCCCATTAAAATGAAAGAAACCGGGACACACTTCAGTTTAGAAGAAGCAATTTAGCTGGTAATGTCCTTACTACTCAAGTCTTTACAAAGAGAGAAAGTGCATTATTGCTTATATTTCACACATCTATCTGCATAAGAAGCAACTAAACCTTTCAGACACATACGATGTTAAATTTAATAATATTCTTTGATTAGATTATTTTATTACAACATTTTTCTATTACCAGTCATTTCCCGTACACATTTACATTCATAAAACCTGCAGGTTTTTCTTTGTTTGTGTGTGTGTATATGTATTCATAAAGCAAGGAAAAGATTTTCTGGTTTGCTACAGTTGTAGATTCTAAAAGAACAGATTAATAACTAGCTACCACGTAGGACTAAGTTTTCTTGTACACTGCACCAGTAACCCTTTGCTATAATGAGAACACAAAGAGGCTCACGTCAGGCTGCTCCTCTTCTTCATAACTCAAAAGCGTCACAGTGGCAATAGCCTCTAGTGCTATTTGTCTTTAGTGCAGTTGTGACACTTCGGCATGATCCATAATTTGGCAGCTATTTACCGTGACATTTCCCTTCAGTGCAGCCATAACATTCAGTGAAGCCATTATTTGGTTCCATTTACCATATAAATTGTATTGTTGTGCATGCATGCTAGCAGCTACATTAGGTACCTGAAAATGAGTAAATCTTGTAAAATAGATACTAACAGTTATTCAGCAGAGAAATTTCTTTACTCCTCAGACAGAAGTAGAAATATATATAGAGTATCTGCAAACACTACTGCAAACTTTTCCTTGAGAGACTGTAATTAGATGTATTTATATGACACAGCAGTTATTTATACCCACTTATAAAATATATACAACTTAATAGATTTATATATTTATACACACATAGGCACATGTACAAATATGTGGCAAACTATAGCCTGATAGAAATCTAACTTAATTCAGAAAGGTATGAGGAGATTCCAGCATAGCAATTAAGTAGGAAGCATATCTGTAAAATGTGCTGAGGGTTGCAGGCCAGGAGAGAGTGAGTACGTGTGTGTCCGTGTCAGCGTGCGCATGCACACATGTGACAGACTGAGGAAAAAAGCCAGCTCTTCATCTACTTCTTTGTTGTTTTTCCATGGAAGCATATGTGTAGGAAAGGGAAATTCTGTTATTAGCCTCAGCAAACAATGCCAGATTCCTCTGTAGCAAATTCATTTAGAAAGGTAAAATTAGGATGTAGTGCTAGCAACCACATCTCAATGAACTGCTATTATTAATAGTATTATTATTTAAATCCCTGCTCTCTACATATAGTATACTTAGTACTTCCCAGGCAAATGTATTATTATTTTTAATCATTTAAGTCCCCACTGTGCACACAGCTTTTAATACACCTTTTTTGCAAGCATATTAAGTGTATTGTTATTAATCCCTTGCTGTGACTCTACAGTATTTCTTTTCCTTCTATGTTCAATGTCCTATCATCATTTAAACCTCTCAGTGTGTGCATGCCATATACATTTTCCTATCCATCTAATATTTAAACATTATTTAAATCCATCATAGATTACTTACTCAAAGTCAGCCCTGCTCCCATAAATCTAAGTTTGCAGAATATACTTTTAAATAAAGAGAAGCTTTTTCCCCCCTGCAAACCAAGAATTATTATGAATCTCAGAAGAAAAGCCTTATCTGCATATTTCAGAAATACTTTTCACCCTCTCCCTGACGATAATGTTCTCTTTCTGCAATCTAAATAATAGAAGTTGTATCTTTAAAAACAAAAATCACTTCTTCATTCTGGATTCACCTGTGAAAGAGCAATCATGTACACCCTGAGTTATCCCTTCAGCTTAACATAGGCATTTGATGAAGAAGACAAGCCCAATGGCCGCAGCCAAAACCAAACAAAAGGCCTATGAAATTAATACACTGGCTATACAAGTTCTGTGTATAACATATTTGAACTTTTTACTAATGCTGTAATTAGTATGAAAATGCTAAATAAGCCTGAAGCCAAAATTAAAACCAACAAAATGTCATACCAGAACACACATATACACACACACACATGAACCTTCTAAAGGTTCTTTTGACCACAAAGGAGTTGGGGCAGTTGCATTAATGTTATATATGAAACAACATATTAAAAATAAAGTAGAATGCTGTATGTCTAAACAGAATACTGTTACAAGAATATTTTTTATAACAAAAACATTTGGAATTCACCGCCCGAAAACACCTACATCTATTGGACTTGCAGTGATCAACACCACTTAGATGGGTTTTGGCATTTGCTAGTAGAAACTTAGTGTGAAAAATTGTTACCTGTGCAACTCTTCTGTGCATATCACAATTGTAACTAAAGGTATTATTGTATTTTTGTTTTGCCCTAGTACACCCCAAAGAGTCAATATTTTTTGTTTGTTTGTTTGTTTTTTTAAAAGATGCATTTTTTTAACAAGGGCAACACCTTTTCTCTCTACAAGAAAAGAAACCATGTACTTAGAAAAACAATAGTGAGAAGTTTTTATGCATTGATCTTGTACAGTACTTGAGTGCCTGCATCTTTCTAGCATCCATCTGGAAAGCCAATATAGCTTTCTAATTATGCAAAATACAACCCACCACAATATTTGTCATGTTAGAGAGGAAAGAGGAAGTATGTTTCTAAAAGCAGATCTTAGTGAAAAGAGAAATCAGTGTTTTAATGCTCAAGCTTGAGTAAAAGAGAAATGGTAACATAGCTCAAGCCATTCTGCCTTTCCCCAGAATCCTCCAAAGAGGGACTAAACCCAGTAGTCATGTCTCAAAAAAGGCATAGTTCTTTGTTGCACATAATTCTTTAAGATGTGAATGACATATGCAACGAAAATTACAATTAAAATATGTTAACTCAAAGTTAAAAATACTTTCTCTCTCATCTACACTACTGAGTAAAATGTAAGCTTTTGCTATGTGTTACTTTCAAAATGCATACAGTCAGTCCTGAATAAAGCCTCAAAATCGTTTACTCTGGACTTTTTCCTTCAACTTCCAGGCATTATCAGTCTATCGTTATGTTTATTATTAGGTGTATGTTCTTAAGAAATTTCCATCTCTCCAACTGCACATAAATGTATATCATTTCAAAGGATGTGGCAAAATCAGCCTTTCAAATCTTAAAGTTTGCTATGGAAAAAAAAAAAAAAAAAAAAAAAAAAAGTACGTAGAAGAAGCACAGTTTAATGTATTTTATTGTTCTGGAAAATATTACACTTCTAGCTAGAATTCCCTCTGCATGTACCGTTCATAATATCTATTAAGTGAGGAAGAATTTTCAAAACTTTACAAAACATTTTAACTGCACCCACTATGTAATCTATGGCTGAGTGTCAGTACATATATGAGGTACTGTGGCTGTAGATTTAAAATGCTCTTGCTGTTTGTAAAAGGGCTTCTGCAGAAGCGGTATTAGCTAAAAGTAGAAGCAGCAGCATGATCATGGGAAGTCACAAGAATCATTGGTCACAGAACTCTACAACACAGAGAATATCTACAAAGGACCTAGTCAGCAAGAATCATGTCAATATGAATAAATGCCACAAATATGTAAATAGCCTTTTTAGCTTTATTAATTCTTAAAAAGATATACAGGACCCGAACACACAAAAATGGCTCAGAAACCACTCTAACACAATTGTAATACTGACTGATGGAAGGACCCCACAGTAAACAGTAATAGTAGCAAACGAAAAGGCTACAGAATGAGACTATGTTGCAACTTGCAGTCAAAGATTTAAAAGAAAATTGCATTGTTGTTTAGTTACGAAAGACATAATTAAAAAAAAAAGTCAAGTTGCTTTTCTTAATATTACTGACATATCAGAATTGGAGGATAAGTGTTCCCTGTGTAACCAGTCAAGGAATATTACTATGATCCATGATGCAACTGAATTATGATTATCGTGTTTGTGACAAAAAATGAAGAGCATAATTTTTTCTAGAAACTTGAAGAGATTAATGGAGCAACCACAAGATAACTCCTTACTTAGTCTTGTTCTAATTATTTTATTTTTAAATCACAGAATTAAAATGGCTGAAATAATTTTGTTCTAATCTGAACTACATATGGAGTATTATCAAACCAGTCCAACAGATTAAATCTGCCTCTGCGTCAAGACTTAGTCTGTCAAGAACAATATTCTTGTCTCATGCTAGCCTAAGTGACAGAATCAAACACAGGCCCATTAAGTCTGTACTGCAGCCACTGATTTAAGCACTTTTTAGAAAAGGAAAAAAACACAAAACTTTTTATTAACACCTTAATGCTGTTTTTTAATATAGTATCAATTACCAAGCTTAAAAAGGGAAATTGTTTCTAGTAATTCTGAGACATAAAGTGCCCATTTTCTCTCTTCTGATTTATATCATTGTTCTGTTTTTACAGCTTACTGTTGACAGAGTGAGGTAATTCAACTACAATTTTTCCAATGTTTTTTCCCATGTACATGTAATCTACAGCACGGAACACAGACTCCAGGCCAGTGAACTTGCCCTCTGGAGACATGTCTCCAAAGTCCACCTCACAAACCAAGTCTCCTTTTTCATACATCTTGAGCAAGTGCTTCAGAGCCATTTTGTATTCAGAAAGGTAATGGTTCAAGAAGAAACCCCGGACGCTGGCAGACTTCTTCAATAGTTTTGCTGGCAGTAACTCTGCTTTAATGGGCTGGAGGCCTGTAGGGTTTTGGTAGCCAGCGATAAACCCAATAACTATCAGGCGCCCTTTGGTAGCCAAGGAGTTCATAGCCAAGTCAAACATCTTTCCCCCAACAGATTCATACACAACATCCACACCTTCGGGGTAGTCCTTCCTAAGAACAGATTCAACATTTTCAGTTTTATAGTTGATCGTACGGTCACAGCCAATGGATTTCAGAAAACCACCCTTTTCATCACTGGAGCAGGTTCCAATCACGTGGCATTTTGCTTTCTTTGCAAGTTGCACAGCAAACTGGCCTGTTCCTCCAGCCGCTGCTGTCACCAGAACCTTCTTGCCTTCAGACAGCTCTCCCAGCTCTTTCAAACTGATGTATGCAGTAGCGCCACTTACCATTAAAGTAAGAAATTCGGGTTTCACAGAGGGTAGAGGAACTGCATGTTTGGCAGGCACAACTGTGTATTCAGCAAAGGAACCTGCTTTCACGTAGGCCACAGCTTGACCCACTGTATAATCAGCACTAGCACTGAGTCCTAACGCCACCACATCCCCAACACCTTCAAAACCTATATCAAATGGGGGTTTAACTGATGCGTCATATCGACCAGCTGAGTAGTTTATATCGGATGCATTAATGCCGACAAATCTAGAAGAAAACAAAAATGTATTAACAAGATTTATTCCTTATCAAGTCTTTGTCATATGAGAAACCTTCAATTTAAATTTGTGGCATTAGTATGAGACTTTTTTCTGATTATTGGTATAATGCATACACTCCACAGACTATTTCTATCAGACTTCTGTAGTTTACATTCTGTTACTCTGGAATTACAGATAAATTTGTTAAAAAAAAAAAAAAAAGAGGAAAAAAACAAAAGCCAACTTTTCTTTTCCTCAGGTTCTTTCGACCAAACAAAGCAAAGTAAAAATAATTCTGTATAAGATTAAAAGATGAAAATTAATTGTCCACTTTATACAAGATGTGAAAACACTGAAGAATAAAACATGCAAAGCGGTAAATATGTGGATTCTGGCAACAAATTTACATTTTTGAATATAATAATACTGTTAATGACTAACGATCATATTAACTATCGATGTCATTTGCAAGGTCATGTTACTGTAGGCAAGTACTTTTTAATTGATGGAGTCACTACAGCAAATTTGCCTTTTGATGTAGCTAATGTCAACGTTAAAATATTTTTCTTCATAGAAATTATTTGCAACACCAAAACAACCTTGCACAGAAGGACTAAAATTATAAGACTGAATATCAAGTCCTACTGACCTCTAACAGGTGAAAATGGATGCTAATTTATTTTTTTAAGAAAAAGATAAGAGACATTCTCACAACTTGATTAAGCACTAAGGGATAATGCCTAAAGAAAGTTTTTATCCAGCTTAAACATGAATAATATTTTAGTTACACCTTAAAAAATCCAGCAACATAGTAGTATCTCTATAAAGGCACACGGAGTGAGACTGGAGAAGATTCTGCTAACTGGAAAATGTCAAAAATAAACACATGCAACAGAAAAGTCCAGGACTGTTACTACACATAGAAGTGACAACTGGAAAGGTGTACCTGGTGCCATGCAAAAGCTGCAAAAGTATGCAAACAGGGCACTTTTAATTGTTGCAGTTAGCAATAGGCTCAAATCATATGTGTGTGTAGTTTTAAATTGCTTGCACACAGAGCGAGGAGAATGAAAACAGCTTTGCTCATTTGATTTCTTTCGTTCTTCATAGCATGGGGAGCCTGAAACTTTCAACAACGTAATGTGATATATATAAAAAGACATCCAAGCATAAACATACAGATGTATGAAATAGGTGAAAATGACCGTTGCTCTTTTAAATTCTGCCTTTAATTCGTTGCTCAGCCGCAACAAAAAATGCCCATGTCTTGTTCCTATATACAAAAATTCCTCTGTTACCCTGCCTTAAGGTAACTCCCATACAGCACAACTAAAAGATGTACAAAAATTGGTAACGGAGCAGCAGCTTCCGAGGCAAGCCGTGTCCCTCGGGTGCCAGGGAGAAGGGCTCGGAGCACCGAGGCGAGACGTGCCGGCGCTGCACTAGCTGCCTCCCGCTTTGACACCCCAGTTTGCGTGGAAGGGAGCTGAGGGTGAGAGGCCGTCGGGGAGCTGTGGCTCGCTCCCTCCTCGCTTTCATCCCTTCGCCCAACCGGGGGCTCTGGCTGTCAGGCCAGGACCCAGGCGCTGACTCTGTCCCCGCAGCAGCCCCCGGCCCCAGCTGGACTGGCAGG